TGTGTGTGTGTGTGTGTGTGTGTGTGTGTGTGTGTGTGTGTGTGTGTCTATAAGAAGTCCTGTGTGTGTGTGTGTTGGCTTCAAACTCAGAGCTCTGGCGACCCCTGCACCAAGTGCACCAGCACATTTAGCTCATCTTACACTAACTGAATAGTCTATAATTGCTCTGTGGAATCCATGAACACTAAAGGTGATCTAACACTTAGGCTGTGTCGCTTTTTGCTGTAAAGTACACATGGCAGAGTGACACGAGCAGACAGCAGTTCCTGTGCAAGAACTAGCCCTGGTCAGTTTGGAACACTTGGCTTTCACACAATGGAATTCCGAATTTTCTTAATTTGACTTTTAGTTTTTGGTGCTGGATATTGGACCCAGAGCCTGTGCTTGCTAAACATATACTCTGTTGCTGAATCGGCTTTCAGACTTTGTGGTCTCAAGACCCAAAGTCTATCTTACAGTGTTAGTCAGCCCTCCATCGCTGTGATAAACAGTGCAGAAAGAGCTGTTTTCTTGGCTCATTGTTCTGAGGTTTTGGCGGGAGTAGGTAACGGAGAGCTGTTCACCTCATGATGGCTGGGAGGCAGTGTCCTCTTCAGGGGGACACCCCCAATAACCTAATTTCTTCCCACTAGGCTCTACCTCCCAAAAGTTCTGTTACACCTTAGTACAGTCACCAGATGGGGAGCAAACTTTTAGTTTCTGAGTCTTTGTGGGGGCAGTATTCTGGAAATCAGTATAGAGGTTCCTCAAAAGGTGAAAATTGATTTCCACAAATCTAGCTGTGTGTCTACACAGAAGATTCTACATCTTGTTCAGATTAAAGGAAGTCAGCGGATTCTCATCTACTTCTATATCCGGTCTCTGGAATGTTTTAGTAAAGTATTTGAAAACAGTCTCCACCTTTTATATGCTGTGTTATTAGGGAAAAGGAGCACTTTAATATCTTTTCCAGATAATTGTGGATATTCCTTTTTGTGTGCTAAGCAAGCCGTCTTTTCTTAGTGGCTGTTCCCAGTATGGAATCTAAAACATACCAATGCTTGTTTTTTATTTATGACGTAGTGCACTGGTCATCCAGAAAACAGTGATTCATTGAGTTATGTAGGTCCTCACAGATCTCACACTATAAGAAATTGCATGTAGCTGGGTGTAGTGGCTTACACCTTTTAATTCCAGCCATTGGGAGACAGAGACAGATCTCTGTGAGTTCAAGGCCAGCCTGGTCTACATAGTGAGTTCCAAGACAGTCAGAGCTACAAAGTGAGATGCTATTTCAAAACAATAGCAACAACAACAACAAAAAAATGTATGTGTTACTATTACCATGAACCCAATCTTTTACATTTTTTGTCTTTTTTTTTTTTTTTTTCAAGGGAGGGTTTCTCTGTGAAGCCTTGGCTGTCCTGAAAGCAGCTCATGGTATTTGTTGCTAAAGACATAATTTGGTCTTTCAAGTAAAACTTGTACTTCTTACTGGCAATGCTAGCACACGCCTTTCATCCCAGTACTTGGGAGGCAGAGGCAAGCAGATCTCTGAGTTTAAGACCAGCCTAGTTTACAGAGTGAGTTCCAGGGCAGACAAGTGTGTTAACACAGAGAAACTATTTGTCAAGAAAAAAGAAAATTGACTTTTGTTTTACTAGTAGCCGTTTAGCAAAACAGTAGTAGTAGGTCTCTTTCTAGGGCTTTTGACCAGGTTTACAGTATTATTAGACATCAGTTTCCTTCTGTGGAGCAGGCTGCAAAGTCAGTGAGAAAACAGCTAACTCATGACAGTCATTCCACTGTTACACTAGTGGGCACACTGTCCGGCAGTTCAGTTCTGGAGCACATGGGACCCAGCCCTGGGTGTGGCAGTAGATGGCTTTTCTCTCGGCACCCTGAGCCTTCTGCCTCATCTTGTGTGCTGGGAGTATAGTTCTGCACCACCATGTCTTGTTTTATGGACTGTTGGGATCAAACATAGATTTCCTTATTCATGCTAGGCCAGTAGTCTTAACAGTTGAGCTGTGTCCCAGCAGCAGTGACTATTTTATGTGTGTATTCCACATTTATGTGGGCAGTCAGGTGGCCAGAGCTGGCAGCAGGATTTCGGGGGCTGGCATGGCAGACATCTAGTACGCCTTCCTCTCTGAGAAGTAATGCTTGGAGGCATACAGCCCTGCCAAGATGCAAACAAAACAGATAAAAGTAACATAAATTTAGGACCTAAAATGTCATTAATAATTTCTTTACCCAACAACAGCAAAGTTTTCAGGTCAGTGTGAAGGAGAAACGATTAGTTACTGTCATCAGCCCTAATGGCGTTCCAGGTAGCCAAATAACCACACTGTGTGCACCTGTACCTGCCTGTCACTGGACTGCCGTTCCCCGTTGCCATGGTGTTTCCACACATGGCCTGGCAACGACCTTCCGAGCTAGGTGTGCTGTGGTTCTGCCGTCTTCACTCCGTATAGAAAACCTACTATAAATATTCTCCAACCTTAAAGAATGTGACATTTGTTTCCTTTGGATTTTAAAGTTTTCGTACTTTTGTTAAACAGTGTACGAACAAGAAAAACTGCTTCTATTATTTTGGAAACTATGTTGTGGGGAGAGGGGTCACTACTGCATAAAAGCCTAAGCATTGTAGAATGATCTCAGCTTTGTTGATTCTTTTATTTATTTTTCACTTGGAAGGTACTTCACTGCCTGATGAGCAGAGCCAGCAGTATAGAGCTCCAGGAAGTTTAGCCTTGGGGGAGAAGGCCACTCTGCCATCACTCTGCCACCCCAATCCAACCCAAGACAACCTGCATGCTCCCATCATTGTACCCGATGAACAAAGCAATTTCTGTAAAGCTACTCAACAAGACTCTGTCTTAACTTCAAAAAATGCTTCTGATTTGTTTTATGAGTCACAATGTCAAGAAGCACATGTGAAAAAAAATGACTTAAAGGAAGAAAACCTTAACCATCCTTCAGGTGAGTCACACAGCTGAGTTATCAAGTTGTCGTAGGACAAGGGTCATCTTTCTGTGTTTCCCCATCCTCTGTTGCTTTAGTTGTAAGGCCAAACACACTGCAGAGCCACTGACCTGAAGCTGGGCCACAATTTGATGTTTTGAGAACAGCTGTGGTCCTCATTCTGACCTCAGACTTCATAGATACCATGGGGTCTTCCAAGAGGGAGGCAGCGTGTTCTGCATGGAGTATTTTTTTCTGAGAGTTTTGCTTGATAAATCTTTGTGATAGCTTTGGCAGGTGAGAGCTAGCCAGCTGCAGGTCAGCTGTGATATGCTGGTTTGTGATGGGAGCTGTTACTCATAATGCTTAGGTTGTGTTGTTGTACTTCTGTGTACAGACACATTCTTCCAGAGAATTGGCCTTACTGTTTCAGATGCTAACAAACTCCTGAGCTCACTTGGCTTTTCTGATATATTTTCCCTACCCTCTCTTCTGTGGTCACTGAGTGTGTGTGCAAGAGAGAGGGTGGGAGAGGTGGAGGAGGGAGGGAGAGACAGATGGGGGAGGGCAGCAAGTGGGCTGGGAATAGAATCTAGAGCATTACACTGCTAGGCGAGTGCTCCACCACTGTGATATACTCCTCTAGCTAATCTTTTTCTTTTTTAAGATTTATTTATTATTTATACAACATTCTGCTTGTACATCAGATGTTACTATATATAGATGGTTGTGAGCCACCATGTGGTTGCTGGGGATTGAACTCAGGACCTTTGGAAGAGCAATGTGTGTTCTTAACCTCTGAGCCAGCTCTCCGGCCCCAGCTAATCCTTTTTAATGTACATGCATATGTGTGGCCTGTGCGTGCACATGGAGGCTTGATGTTGATGCTGGGAATCATCCTCCATTTCTCCTCCAGCGTACTCATTACGGCAGCCTTAGTCATACCCACACTCTCCAGTGTGGCTTGCCCTGGGGACCGCCTGTCTGCCTTCTGTGGCTGGAATTATCACCCATGTCACCATGGCCACCCAGCACTTATGGGAGAGGGGCTCTGGGGCTCCAGATTCTAGTCCTCATGCTAGCCTGGTGAGAGCTTTAATTACTGAGCTGTGTCCTCAGTCCAACCAGTCTTAAAAAGGAACAACCAAGCTCCTTGTCCCCCTTTTGCTTTACATTTTTGAAATTATGAATATCATATAGTAGTGTGTTCTTTTTCTCCTTAACATGAAAATTTCTAACAGTATGCTCTCCATCATCGTCATTATTAGAATAACCATCAGATATGACATCTATTTAATACTTTTTGTGGAAAGCCAACATTATTTTGATCATTTCCAAAATGTAAATTTGTTTTCATGAATTTTTTTGTAATTTATATTACAGATAAAAAACAGATAATAAAAAGTGTCTATACTTAGCATTTAGAATTGGGCCCCCTTTTACCTATTGCTTTCTTCCCAACCTAGAGTAACATAGGGAGAGGTCAAATGCCCTGTCCTTTTTTTTGTTTTGTTTTGTTTTTGTGCTTTTGAGATGGTTTCTCTGTAGCCCTGGCTGTCCTGGAACTCTGTCTCTGTCTCCTGAGTTCTGGGACTAAAGGTGTAGAACACCACACATGGCTCCTTTCCTTCTTTTTTGCACAATGTAGTTTCTTTACTTTTCATTTTGGAAAATTTCAAATATCCAGAAAAATGGAAAGACTACTGATTATGGGGTTAATATACTGCCATATTTACATTATTGATACATGTATGAATATGTATCTATTTATAAACCCATGGCTATATATACATATATTGATATACATATAATGTGTATCATTTGCTGAACTCTTTCATAGTAATAGTCAGGCATCATGTGCTTTATTTCAAGTATTTTATTGTATATGAAGTACAAACTAGAATGTATGTCTAACTATACTTTTTTTATACATAAGAAAGTTAATATTTCAGCCTACTGGGGAATTTCTTTTATTTACTCCCAAATTGTCCTTTACAACTTGTTTCATGCATGTGAGCATTTGTTTGCATATATATGTGTGCCACGTGCAGATCTATGGCCTGAGGAGGCCATAAAAAGGCACTGGATCCCCAGAACTGTATCACCCAACTTACAGGAGGTTATAAACTGCCATGTGGGTTCTGGGAACCAAACACAGGTCTTCTGCAAGAGCAGGAAGTGCTCTTGACTGAAGAGCCATCTTTCTAGTCCCTAAAGGTGGTTTTTTAAAAATGAGGATCCAATCAAGTTCCTACATTACCTTTTGTTATTGTAACTCTATAAACCTTTTGTTTGTTTTTCAAGGCAGGGCTTCTTTGGAACTCACTCCATAGATTAGGCTGGTCTCAAACTCAGAGATCTGCCTGCCTCTGCCCTGAATACTAGGGTTAAAGGCCTCTGCCCAGCAAACATCCCTACTTTTAAAAGGACAATTTCTTAAAGAATGTCCTGTATCTTAATTGTAGTTTTATAATTTTTATCTTATTAAAACACCCTGAGTATTCTGAATTTTTTGGCATACATGTTTTTTTTGTTGTTGTTGTTTTGTTTTTGAGATAGGGTCTTGCTATGTAGCCTTGGCTGGCCTTGAACTTATAGCAGTCTTCCTGTCTCTGCCTTCCAGGTGCCGAGATTACAGATGTATGTCAGCCTCCTTGGCTACATTTTTCTTTTTTAAATGCTTTCTTTTGTTTCTGTGGTGCTGGGGATGAATTTAAGGCTTGTGCTCACTAGCAAGGGCTCTACATGAAGCTAAATCCAAGGCCCCATGTACTACATTTAATTAAACATATTTTAGTAACTTGTGATTGTCCTATATCCTAAAACTGTATTCTGCAGTTTTGAACTAAGTTGTTCCTAATCTTTATTCTAGGGGAAGGTGTTCTGCCACGCTGGGAAAAGAAGATGGGGAGGAGTCAGGAAGGGAAGAACGTGAACTTACAGAAAAGTGGAGATTCCTCGGATGTGGTGAATGCTGAAGAAAGGTATGTCTCATGTTCTTTCTTGTTTTCCCTTGAATGTGCTTCAGAGCACTAGGTTGATAAAATAACCCATTCTATACTATTAAGCAAGAGACTCTGGTTGGGAAAGCGGACAGTTCAAGTAGCTATGACACTGTATTGGAAGAACTTGGTAGAGTTTTCTCACTTAAAAACAACCAAGGCAGTATGGCTCAAGCAATATCTGAAGACAGCCTGGAATATACAGTGTGACCTTGACACATGCCCTCCCATTTAAAAAACAAAATGTTACCTCATAGTTAAATACAGTTGTGGAGAAAAGAAAAACCAGATGTTGAAATTTCACATTGGTATTGCAACTGGCTGTGGTAGTACACACCTTTAGTCCCAGCACTTGAAAGGCAGAGGCAGGTAGATTTCTGTGAGGCAGCCTGGTCTACAGAGCGAGTTCCAGGGCAGCCAGGACTTTTACAAAGAGAGACCCTGACTCAAAGCAAAACAAAAACAAATAAAAAAACCCAAACAAACAAGTAGGTAGATTAAAATTACAATTGTACATTAGTTTAATTAGAGAATTAAAAAATGTTTTGGTTTTTTTTTTCAGCTGGGTAGTGGTGGTATCCATCTTTAATCTCAGCCCTTGGGAGGCAGAGCTCTGTTTGAGGCTAGCCTGGCCTATATATCAAGATCCAGGACAGCCAGGGTTACATAAAGAAACCCTGTGTCAGAAAACCAAAAAGTTATTTCAAAGAAAAAGTATCCTTTAAATAGTTTTTAAAAAGTGTCCCAAGTCCTGTGCAGAGTTACATATTACTGTATTTTGGGTGCTAGAGAAGGGTTATAGATTTCCTTAGATTTTCAAAGGAGAAGGTAAATAGAGGTATTTTGTTTAAATTTTATTTTCTTTGTACTCTGTGTGCGCGTGGATGCATGTGCGTGTGTGTGCGCACGTGCGTGCCAGTGTGTGCATGGGTGGGCGCACGAGTGCCACAGTGCATGTGTGGAGGTATCTGTCTTCTCCTGCACTGTAGGTTTGGGGGTGTGAACTCGGGTCATAGGCTTGCACAGCAGGCAGTCTGACCCGAGGAGCCATTGTGCCAGTCCTGTTTTGAGACAGTCTTACTGTATAGCTCTGACAGGCCTCAAACTTGCTGAGATTACAGGTATGTACCACTACGTCCAGCTTAAAAGGAAGTCCTTGATGTGCCTAAAAGATTTTATCTGGCTGGCATGGTTACTCTCCATTTGGCTGAATGGCCTGGAATTTATGGTAGTCCCCCTGCTTCAATCTCTTGAGCGCTAGGACTGCTGACACGTGTCATCATACCTTGCTCTTTTTTTTTTTTTTTTTTTTCCTCGTTCTGGGGATTGGACCAGGGTCTTGTTCATGCTCTGCTGTTCATGTTCTACTCTGGCCCCTGGTCCTTGAAAAATATTAGTTTACAGTGTAGGCTAAGGTATTTAAACTGAGTATAATGTTTTCACATTGTAAGCTGAGTGTGCATAACTTTGTTTTTATGATTAGGCCCATCAAAGCTGCCATAAGAGAAAAGACGCAGACATTTGAAGACTATTTGGAAGAGCAGATTCAGCTGGAAGAGCAAGAACTGAAGCAGAAGCAGCTGCGGGTGAGCACCAACGCTGTTCCCACTGAGGGGCTGTCATTCTTCATGACGACTGGCTTTGGAAATAACTGAGATCAGTATATGTGAATTAATTGGATTTTTGTCTCTTTACTTTAGGAAGCAGAGGGACCATTGCTAATGAAAGCAAAACCCAAGCAACCATTTTTAAAACGAGGAGAAGGTTTAGCTAGGTTTACTAATGCTAAATTTAAGTTTCAAAAAGGAAAAGAAAATAAGGTAGTGAGTAGCCAGAGCCCTTCAGAAGACCAGTCTGTATTTAAGGTCGACAGACAACACTTGCAGAGGAAAACTGCTCTCATAAGTAAAGACCTGTGTGCAGAGGCCCCCACTGCTAAGAAGGAGAAGAAGGCCAGAACCAAGGCTGCTTCTGCCTCATTCAGTCAGAAACCCAAAGTGACCAAGATCAGTACGAGGGAAAGTCTCTCTCCACCAGGACTGAAAGCTCAGGTGGGGAAGAAATGTGATGGGCAGTTTGGACGCCAGAACAAATTAGAAAGAAATGTACAAACTAATAATAAGGAAAATGTACCTGCGTGCTCAAAGCCCTGTGATGCTGGTTGCAAGGTGTGGAATAAGACACAGGTGAGAGAGAGACTTCCTCTTTCCACGGGGCCAGTTGGCTGTGTGGCCTCCAAGAGCCTGAGGAGTGAGAAGGAGAAAGAGACAGAGTTGTCCCTTGACATTTCTTTCCAGAAAAAATTAGAAAATTGGGAACGAGAAAAAGAAAAGGAAAACTTGGAATTAGATGAATTTTTATTTTTGGAACGGGCTGCTGATGAAATATCATTTTCTAGTAATTCCTCATTTGTATTGAAAATCTTAGAGAGGGACCAACAGATCTACAAAGGTCACAGGATGTCTTCTACTCCTGTCAAAGCTGTGCAGAAGCAGAAGGCACATCAGGTGGACCCTAACGGTCAGAGTAACCACGAGCTTCCCCGCCATAATGCTGCATGTGAGCGAAAGAGTGAGTGTGAGCCCATGCTCTTGTCACTGGCTTCAGGGCCACCTGATGGTTTGAGGGAACTCTCCTGTAAACTTAGTCAGAAAGCCTTCCAGACCAGCACTTCTGAAAACCAGAGCCCATGGGATGCAAGTGATGACAGTGTTGCCAACAGCGACAGCAGCACTGACTCTGAGGAGCAGCCTGATGTTACCATAAAACCGTCCACTGAGGCAGGGGAGAGGGTCTTCAGCAACAGAGAGGATAGTCCCCAAGTCTGTGACACTAAAGGACCTTTTAGGGACACTGGTGCTCAAGAAGACAAATGGCGAGATGCCGATCTGGATCTGTCTGATAAGGAGTGCAGCAGTGACGAGTCTGTCATAGTTGAAAGCCTGAAACATAACGTCTCGGAGCCATCAAGACAACCCTCCTGTCAAGATGGGAGTAAAATTGACTTTGATGATGAAAGATCTTGGACAGACCTTGAGGAGAATCTGTGCGAACATAATGTTGCTCTCCGAGATGAAGCCACACATGGTGCACCCCTGACACAGTGCCCCAGTAGGAGTGAAGCATGTGTTCTGGACAAAACAATAAAAAGGAAGGTTGCAGCAGTCAAGAGGGGGGAAGACTTGAGCAAGTCTGACAGGGGCGGAAGTCCTCCTCCTCCATCTGACCTGATGATAAAATTCTTCCCTTCTTTGAAACCAAAGCCAAAATTAGATTCACACTTAGACAGTGAACCCAAGTTGAATACAAGTCAAGACCAGCCACCAGGTAAGTCAGGCATAAGGAGATGCTGCAGAGGTGTCTGTTATACTTTTGATTTTAATGTGCACATAATGTTCGTGTGGTTTATCTTTATCTTTGGCACAATCAAACTGCCCGCACACCACTCTTGTCTCTTGGGGCCATTAAGTGTTATTTAAATACAAGCAATTCTACAGCAGTGGATCTGATAGCCTCACATGGGTGCTAAGTGACTAATGAGTAACTCTGTGAGTTGCATGGATGTTTGCTGGGCAGAGGATGTTGTTTCAGTGTGATACTGTGGTATCGCACTGCTGCCACTTAGAATGGAATATGTAATTTAAAAATAATTTCTGGAATTTTCCATTATATATTTGTGGCTTGTAGTTGACTGGTAGGAACTCAAACTGAGAAACTCTTGATAAGGTGTGGACTATGTGTTTGTGTACGTGTGTGTGTGTGTGTGCTGTACAGTTAAATTTTTTTTCTTCCCTAGACTTGACCTTTTATGGTGGCGTAAACATGCATGTATGCATTCTGAAACAATCCACACAGAAAAAATGAGTATGTATTAAAGTATTTCTACAGAACTGAAAGTATGCTTCTTAAAGACAACCTATGACTTATTTACCATACAAAAGAATTGTGTGTGTGTGTGTGTGTGTGTGTGTGTGTGTGTGTGCACCATATATATGTGAGTGCCTGAGGAGGCCAGAAGAGGGCATCAGCTCCCTAGAGCTGACACTGTAGGTTAAGCACCTTAGTGGGGTGCTGGGAACCAAATTCAGATCCTCTGGAAGAGTAGCAAGTGCTCTCAATATCTCAGTCATCTCTTCCAGGCCTTTGTTTAAGGCAAAAATTTAAGATTGTGCTAACACACACATAAACTTGAATATGCAGGAAATCTGAATGCTTGGAAATGTAACAAAGCAAAAACATCTATAACTAAAATTTCCAAAGGTAATTTTCATGCCATTTTGGGGGTTTTCCTTGTATAGGTCTTTCCTATGTACTTTTACTGTGATATTGACATATATTACAGTGTTCCACGTATAACGTATTTTTATCTGGTATAGACCAGATATATTTCTAGGAGGGTAGAACTAAGTGATGAACAGACTGCTGAAGAGTAGAAGATTGCTGTTTGGGGGCTGGAGAGAGAGAACACAGTCAAAAGCACTGTGGTAGCTCACAATTGTAACTCTAGCTCCAGTGGGTCTGAGGCTTAGGCCTCAGTGGGCACCACACTCATCTGTACCTACCTACAAGCAGACTTACACATCTACATTTAATTTTAAATGATAAAAATATTTTTAAAACTTTAGCTATTTACTTTTTAAATAGCAAATTTGATGAGAAAAAAAAAGTTTGCACCTCACTCCGTGTGTGTGTTTGAGACAGGGTTGTTGAACCAACTGGCCAGGCTGGCCTGGACTTGCTATGTACCCCAAGCTGCCTTTGAACTTGTAACCCTTTCAGTTTCCACAGTGCTAGGATCACAAGTTTATGCCCATGCGCAGCTTGTGTTTCTTTTGTATAATAATAAGGGTTAAATTTTGGTTTGGGTTTTGATTAGCCCTTCAGATCTCATGGGAATTATTCATCTTCTATATTTGCTAGTCTTTTAAAAAGATTTGATTTAAACTGTTTGTTTTTTTATCTGTAATCTTGTAATATCAACCCCTTGTTGGTCTGGAACTCACTATGTAAACCACACTGGCTGAGTGCTGGGATTGTAGGCATGCTGCAGTCCAACCTTGATTCCTTCTTGAGGTTAAACCGCTTTCTTTCAGGAAGTTGGGTCTCCTTTGGTCTTTCCTTTTCTGCTGTCTGAAGTTTAGTTTGTTATTCAGTATGATGGCACAGGTTCAGTGGTGAACCTCTTGGTGGCAGTATTCACAGATAACGAGTGTTTGGTTGTAACCCTTTCCTGTAACGTTCAGAATTCATGGTTTGTTTTGTAGGTGACAGGGTTCGATCTCAGGTTCTGAGAGAGAAAGTTATTGAATTGGAATCAGAAATAGAAAAATTTAAAGCTGAGAACACATCTTTAGCTAAACTTCGCATTGAACGAGAAAGTGCCTTGGAAAAATTGAGGTAAGTTTTTATCTATGAGAAAAGAAAACAAAATGATTTAATTGTTTCTTTAAGACTACATTCAAAGTTTTGGTACATTTTCAATCACTTTTAACAAATATAAATGAAAAAGAGAACACATTTCTGTTATATCAATATAGTTTTAGTTAAGGGGATATGGTTTAGTTGCTAGAATGCTTTGTATGCAAGAAGCGTTTGTTTGGATTGCCAACATCCATGAACTTGAGGTCTGGCACCACGCTTCTGTAACCCCAGGATTTGGGAGGCGATGGCAGGAGGATCAGAAGTTCAAGGTCACCTTTAACTATATAGTGCATTCAAGACCAGCCTGGATTGCATGAGATCCTGTCTCAAAATTTTAATCATAATCAAATGAAATGACCTTGTTTGGCCAGATACATTAAAGGGAAGTTCTTAGTGGTAGATGGTAAATTGAAATTCAAAAATGAGTTTGTAGTTATGACGACCCCAGCTGGCCTATGTTGCCACATCTGGTGGCTGCAGGCAGTCCTTAGTGCTCCTTGATTGGCAGGAGCATCACTGAGAGCTCTGCCTCTGTGATCACACGGCGACTTTCTCTATTCTTATCTTTCGCAGTCTTTTCTTCTATGCGTCGGATTCTATGTCTCTCCTCTCTCTCATTTTCCAACGTAGTCAAGACTAGTTAATGGTTGAAGCCCCAAATATGAGACCCTGAGTTCAGTCTCCAATACCGCAAAAAATTAAAAATAAATAAACCAAGAAAGCTGGGTGTGGTGGCTCAAAACATCAGCATTTATTTAATATATTAAGACTGAGAACCTCTGATCAGCTGGAACCAAGGCATTGTGCTAAGTGTATGCATTCCTAAAGTCTAAACACCCAAAGATATTTAGTCAGAACTTCCAAAATCAATGAACCCAATTAAAACCCTTTGCTGACATGCATTCTACACTTACAACAGCCTAGTCATCTTGTTCTTGTGTCTGCTGTAGAAGGGAATTCTATCTTTGTTGAACATATGATTATCCTAGTACACATGCTGTGAACATATACATGTACAAGTTGTAATGTGCTGAGTGTAGGGTACTGCTGGATTTCACCACTGCACTGCTTTCTGCAGTGGCCAAGCAGAAAACCCGAAGTCTAGCATTTACATCAAGTGCCTTTGTATATTTTAGGCCAGGTTTTATGTTGGCAGTTAGTACAAAAGTAATAGCACATATAAATATTTTTAATAAAATAGTCTATATTTTATAAAGTTTTAACACCAAAGCTGGATCTCAAAACTCTCACAGATAATTTCGTCAGATACTCTGCATGAATTCAGAGGACCTTCCCATCCTATCAGTGTGTTGTGGCTGAGGTGATGCCTTGCATCCCTTCTGTCTACATAACCATCTTATACAGCACGGGCACTCTTGTGGGTTTGAGTCAGCCACTCCTTTGGGCCACGTTTGTTTCCTGAGGCAGCTGCTTGCTGTGTCAGTGTAATACAATGTCTGTGGGGCTCCAGCGATGGGAATCTACAGGGATTTCTGACCCACAGAATAGTTTAATTTCAAATCCTAGGTCCCTGGGAGATACGAAATCCTTTTCTCAAGCAAGACTACTGTGCTGATTCCAGGTTATGTATTTTGTGGTTATAAACCTGTGAGAGCTGAACTTACCAACACATAGGACTGGGAGCATCTGTGTGCTAGAGTTGGCTGGCTGCTCTTTCGCCCTCCCTGCCCTGCAGAGCAGAGTCCCTGTCTGTGGAATGGGGTAATACATGCAGGGGATTTTGTTTTTGTTATTATACCGTTTTTCTAGATGTCTACATTTTACAAGATTTCCATTTTTAAATGAATTTTAAAATTTATATTTATTGTTTGGTGAGGTGCACACCTTTAACCCCAGAATTTGGGAAAAAGAGGCAGGTGTATCTCTTAGCTCCAGGCCAGCTTGGTCTACAAAGTAAGTTCCAGGGTTGCAAAGAAAAACCTTGTTTCAAAAACAAAATTTTTCATTTGTGTGCATATGTGCAGGCATGTGTGTGTTATGTGGGTGTGCATGTGGAGGTCAGAGGACAACTTTCGGGAATTGGTTCTTTCTGTTGTGTGGGTCCTGGGGTCATCTCAGATTGTTAGCACCTACCCACTGAGTGCTATCACCTGCCTGGCCCAGGTTTCCATTTTCTCGTACTCATGTCTAGTGTTCTGTGACAGCTCACCTCAGAGTGCAGCTGTGTACTTGTTGTTTTAGTTCTTCTATGGAAAAGCAGGTGAGTGCCGAGTGCTTCTAGTTAGCCATTTTGACCTCACGAGCTGCTTGCTCTAAATTCTTTCAACAAGCCTCTTTGGAAAGGATGTTGAAGCATCACTCTGGCTCTGCCTTCCCCAGGGAATTGTGAGGCAGAGCACATGGCCTCAAGTTGCTCTCAGGTTGGCACCAGTAGCGTGCCTCAGGATGGATGCCATCATTCCTATAATTGTTTGCCTGGGGATAAAGGGGTTCCTAGTAGCTCCGATGGAAATGCTGAAATTGGCTCACAGCTTCAGCTCTTTCTTCAGCTGTGTACACCTGGACGCTTAACCCAGAGTCCTGAGGTTGCTGCCTCCTCTTGGCTTAGCTTATTTAGATGGAAGGACAGTTCCTTCAGTTTCCTGTTCCACCACTTTCCTGATATCATTTCTGTATTTCTTTTCTAACAGTCTGAAAAAGTATGAATTCTATGCTCGGCCCCAGGAAATAGTGTCGGTAGGTGGCAGAGAGGAGAGAGGCCATGAGCACATTCAGTGTTCTGGCCTGTGAACATCTGAATGATTAGTAGTCTAACATTCCCTGAAGAAAGAAAGCTTGAGACAGCCATCAATCAGTCTGGTATACACCTTGGTACACTCACCCCATTTCCAGAAATAAGGACGAGACTGAGATGGCAAGTAATGGGTAGTTGGCTGGGAAGTAGCAAGGCTAGTATAGATAGAGTAGATCAGTATCTGCCCAGCTCTAGGGCTTTGAAGCTTACTAACAGGTCTCTGCCTCATTATTTGGGAGCAAAACCAGGTGATTATAAATGGCCCTTAATTATACTGTATTTCTATACTTGCCCCTTGCTGGTTGTAACATTGGATGGGCCTGCCAGGGCAGGGCAGGGGCGCTTATCCCGGTGGTGTGGTGCAGGAGAGCTGGTAGGCTCATCAGCTCAGGTACCTCTCAGGCCTAGACGCAGGACTTGGAATTGGCCCACGGCAACATCTCCATTGATGAACTGCTGGAGTGTGTGAAGGGGTCCATCTCACATTGAGAACTACAGGATCTCCATGACACAGGGCAACAACAGGATATCTGAGAGGAGTCCAGTGAGGTTGCAGTATTGGCAGAGTAGCAGAAGCCAGAGGCTTCAAACTAGACTGACGAGCCATTGCAATGAACATTTACAAGTAAAGAAGTGTGGACAAAAGGGTATACTGTGGGACACACTGTGACATACACAGCTTCCACAACAGGATTTTTTTTCCTCTGTTGGGGGGAAGTTTGCAGGGGTGGAGAGTGGGTACAAGGGGAGGGGGAGATGGGTGGGATCGGGGTGCATGATGTGAAATTCACAAAGAATCAATAAAAAGATGCTGAAAAGTATCTCATTTTCTAATGAAAAAAAGTTTTTTAATTATATCTTGTAACTGTATACTTATTTTAAAAATAGGTTTGGGGCCAGCAAGCTTACTCATTTAGTAAAAGCATTTCTGCTAAGCCTGCCAACCTGAGGTTGATCCCCAGGACCCACATGATGGGGAGAGAGACGGATTCTGCACTGCACGTTATCTTCTGACCTCCACCTAAATGCCATGCACATTTGCGCTCACACAGCATGCACACACACAGCATGCACACACACAACATGCACACACACAGCATGCATGCACAATTAAAAGAAAAGAACATTAGAACATATTTTAAAAATAGTGTGTAGAAAGTAGGAACATAAATAAGATGTCTTCTTCACTCAAGGTAAGTTTTCAAATTCTGTACTTCATAACCTCAGAATTATAATTTCCCTGAACACTGAAATCATAAACTAAAAGGCTTTAGGGATTGTGCTGCCTTTCCTGTCTTAGAAGTGAGGAAACAGGTACTGACAAGAAGGCTGCCCAGGCCCTTGTTGTTATTGAGGGCCACAGTTCCAGCCCAGCAGTTTGAGTTCTGCATCTTGGGCTTCCTTAAAGCTCTTCTTTAGTCTTCTCTTTAGGCACTCTGTGTACTGCACTCCAATCTTCCACATTTATTTATTACATTTAAAAAATTATTTTCACATCTGTTACTGTGTGTGTACACAGTTGCCGCATACATGTGGACGTCCAAAGATGACCTGTTTCCTGGTTTTCTCCTTACTGCTTCTAATGCTTCACACATTTATTATTTTTCATTTTAGTGTGTGTTGTATATGTGAGACTGTGTGGGTTCATGCATGACTTGGTGCCAGTGTGGTCAGAGGACAGTGTTCAGGAGTCTGTCCTCCCCTTCCATCATGGGATCTGACTCAGCTTGTCATTTGTGCAGCAAGCCTTTCACCTGCTGCGCCATCCTGCTGGCCCTGTTGTCTGCTTCTCCCATTGCAACGTAAGAGGCTGTGGTGTACCACTTCCTGGATTCACCGTGGGTACCTAATTGACACTTGCTGAATGAATGTTAGGAAAATGAACTGGCTGACCTTTGAGGCCAGTGGATTGTAGGAGGATTCACTTGGATCAGCAACTTTCAGTCTGACTCTGGGTTCCATTTTGATGGCATTGATTTCATTTTAATTAATTTTAGCACTGGGGATTATAACAACTTTTTTGTTTAGTTTTTTGATGGAGGTTCTCACTGTGTTGTTCAGGCTGGTGTTGAGTCCTCCTGTACTCAACGGATCCTGTCTCTATCCTCAGCCACCTAATGCTAGGAATAAAGGTGTATACCATCACACTTGGGTACACATGGCTCATTATACTGACACTGTCCCATGACAACGTGGCTTGTTCGTTGTAGGAAAGAAATTGCTGACTTTGAGCAACAAAAAGCACGAGAACTGGCTCGAATAGAAGAATATAAAAAGGAGGAGACAAGGAAACTACAAAAGGAGCGTAAAGTTTTTGCAAAGTACACAGCAGCTGCAAGAACGTTTCCAGACAAAAAGGAGCGTGAGGAAATACAGGTACCTGGTTCTACCCCACACTCGGGGTCAATAAAGACGACAATCTTGTAAGAGTCCCACTAGAGTTATTTGATGTTTCAGGAAGTAAAGTGTGAGCTCTTAGAAGGCTGAGGTTGAAGAGGCTACAGGGAAAACCCCGTCTCAAGAAGGGAAAGGCTGAGAGAAACGGGCGTCTGCGACACCACATCAGAACCACTTCACAGTCTGACTTTGAGAGATATAGTCACCAGTCCTTCACTCACTAATAACGGTCCCACAGATACCCTGGGGAACCGAGAAGCCAGAACTTGCATGTGCACCGGTTCTGTGTTGTGCTGTTATTTGACCATATACTAACTAGGGGGTTTAGTTCCAAAACTTACAGGATGATAGGGCAAATAATGGTTCTGTTCATCTTAGAGAGAGACATGAGCATGATCAGAGCAGTTAAAAAGAACAAATATATTTTAAAAAATTATTATATTTTTTACATGTATAGGTGTTTTACATGTATAGGACCTGCATGTATGAATGTGCATTGCATGTGTGCAGTGGCCCTGGGGGTCAGAGAAGGATGTCAGATCTCCTGGGATTAGAGTTACAGATGGTCGTGAACCACCATGTGGGTGCTGGGAAATAACCCAGGTCTTCTGGAAGAGCAGCCAGCGCTCTTAACCACTGAGCTGTGTGTTCAGCTCCATGAACACATTTATTAGAACTATAAACATTGGGGAAAACAGATGAATTTATGTATACATTGACACTTGCAAAGCATTCTAAGGAAACTCATTTGGCTAAATATAAAAACCAGAGTAGATATGCTAGATTGTAAGTTAAAAGCCTCAGCTTATCAACAGCATAGTTTTACATAGCTGTTTGCTATTTCCTGCATAAAATGTGAGCTCACCTGCTTCCCTACTTTTTGGACTATTGCTGTGGGTCCCAGCCTTTGCTTTCTTCTTCCCATGTTGCAAAGCACCTTAGGGCAATGCCATCATCTCATTTGCATACCTGCAGCGTTAGTCACCACACACCACATATTACTCAGGGTTTTCCTTACTATGTATTTTAAGTCAGGGTCTCACTGTGTGGCCCACACTGGCTTTGAGAGCCCTCCTGCTGCAGCCCCCTGAGCGGTTGGGCTCACAGTGCACACCAGGGTTGCTGCTCTTCTAGGGACTGTTCTATTAGCGTATTTAAAGAGGGGAAAGTGCTGGTTCATTAGTGTATTAAATGTAGGAGGCTAGATTTTGATACTCTACTAAAAATCCTATTTTAAAAAGTGATATAGAATGTAGACTTTCTCTTTAGTTGCTGCCCACCTTACTGCTTTTTTGTAGTGCACTTGATAAACCTTTCTTTGAAAAAGGTAATATATATTTCCATTATAAACGTATAAAAAGATGAACAAAGTCTTTATCTCATACTTGCTCTGATTACTTCAATTTACCTTTCTCTGTTATTTTTCCTCATTTAAAAATGTTTTATTACATTTGTGTGTGTGTGTGTGTGTGTGTGTGTGTGTGTGCGCGTGTGCATGTGTAGAGTCCAGAGGACAACCTGGAGGAGTTAGTTTTCTCTCTCACCTTTCTCTCCTTCCACCATGTGGAGCTTGGTCATCTTACTTCCTCCCAAAGTGTTTTTGATGCCTTTTTCAAGTGTAGGTGGTTGTAGTTGTATAGAATTATCCTCTGTTCTAGTCCACGTGTGTGTGTGTGTGTGTGTGTGTGTGTGTGTGTGTGTGTGAGTGTGTGAGTGTGAGTGAGTGTGAGTGTATGATTGTGTTCACATGGCTCTAGTGTATGAAATCAGGTATGGTCATACCTCCAGCATGGCTCTTTCAGTCTAGGATTGCTTTGGGAGGTCATTATGCTTTCATATGCATTTCAAAGATTTTTTTTTTTTTTCCTATTTCTGTGAAGATGTCATTGGGAATTGCACTGAATCTGAATGTTGCTTTTGGTAGTCCAGACATTTCACAATATATTCTGGTGACCCATGAATGTGGGAAGTCATCTCCAATGTCTTACTCAATTTTATTTTCTTTTTAGTGTTTTTGTTTCCACTGTAGAGGACTTTTACCTCGTTGGTTAGACTTAGCCCTAGGACTTTGATGTATATTTTAAAGCTATTATAACTGAGGTTGTCATTTTGCTTTCTATCATGTTTTATTAGTGAATGTGACTTAATTTTTTAGCAGATTAGTTACTTTTGTATATTGTCTATATATCTTACCACAGCTCTACCAGAGGCTTTGGGTTTTTTTAAGAGTAGGTTTAGACCCCTGCACAGATGTAGCCCATGGCAGTTCAGTATCCAAGTAGGTTCCATTGTAATAGGCACAGGGACTGCCTCTGACATGAACTGATTGGCCTGCTCTTTAATTACCTCCCCCTGAGGGGAAAGCAGCATTACCAGGCCACAGAAGACAATGCAGCTACTCCTGAGGAGACCTAATTGCCTAGGATCAGAAGGAAGGAAAAGAAGACCTCCCCTATCAGTGGACTTGGGGAGGGGCATGCATGCAGAGGGTGGAGGAAGGGAGGGATTGGGATGGGAGGAGGGAGGGAACCACAGGGTGGATACAAAGTGAATAAAGTGTAAGTAATAAAGAAAAAAAAAGAGTAGGTTCATGTTATCTACACACAGGGACAACTGAATTTCTTCCTTATTTGTATCACTTTTATTTCTTTTGCCTTATTGCTCTAGTCTTGGGTTCCTAGTTTCTTCAGCACTTTTTATCATGAAGGAATATTGAACACTGTCAAAGGCTTTCTGATCATGTGATTTCTGTCCCTGATTCTATTTATGCATTGTATTGCATTTGTTAATTTGCATGTTTAACCGTCCCTGTATCCTTGGAATGAAATCAACCTGATCATGTTGTATAGTCTTAATGTATTATTTAATTTGATCTGCATATACTCTTACTGAGAACTTTTCAGCCTGATGATGCAATTCAGCGTTTGCTTCATACTCAGATCCCAGGGTTCAGTCCTCAGCACTGAGTATTCTGAAATCCCAAGGACGAGGCATGAAAGTATGGAAATGAGAATTTTGTTCTGTAATTGTATGGGTGCTGGTATCAGTGATACTGGCTTTCCAGATGTTCTTTCCACTTTGATTTTATGAAATAATCAGAGGTACTCACACAAATTAGGCATGCCTCATCCTTGTGAGGAGCCTATTGTGCTAGTCTCCAGGGTACATGGGGAAACACCTGATATGAAGGCTGCCTGGATCTCTCCATCCTTCAGCTGCTAGCCCTAATAACCCCAGCTCAATTCAGTCAGTCTGCTGTCGGGGCTTTTCCAGTCAGTCAGTACATTTGACAGACTTGTGTTACATGCTGTTCTCTGAGCTTTGTTGTAGTTCTCAAATCACTGGTGACATTCTGTCCTGACTGTAGTTTTGTGTTCTGCATTACATTTGCATTTTGTTCATAGACATGTCTAAAAGTTTCTTCACTCACTTCATTTATTCCATCTAGAACAACTCATTTCTTCCTTCCTGGGAATTGAACCTAGAATCTCACACATGCCAAGCAAGTGTTCTACCTTTGAGCTATATTCCCATGTCCTTCCTTCCTGTTTGTTGTTTGCTGCTGGGGATCAAACCCAGGGCCCTGTACATGCTTGGCAAGCACTCAAAACAGAGACAAATATCCCTTCATTTTCTTAATATTGGTTTCTTCTCATTCTTTTCTTTCTTTCTTTCTTTTTAAGACTAGTCAAATGCTGTAGTGAGAAGGGGTGGGGTGTTGAACAAGGAATTTGGAACTGACTTCCAGCAGTCAGTTGGGATAACTCACCGCTTTTGGACAGCCTCACTCATGGATTTTAACCATCTCTTTTCAGGGTCAGTGGCCCTTTAGCTTAAGTCTACTTCTGTTCAAGAATTCATGCCATTTTCTTCTTTTCCCATTTTAGTTGGTGATCAGGTTAGGCTGCTCCGCTCATGTTGTACTCAAATGCTGCCTCTGCGTTCTCCTGCCTCTGACTCACTGTTGACAGGCTAATGTGAGGCTGACCTGACCCCCATGTCCAGCTCTGGAAAATCCAGCGCCACTTACTGACTAGACATCCTTTCCTGCTGTCTGTGGTGGGCCTGCATTTTGTTTAATTGATGGGTCTCTTCCACTTCATTTTAATTCTGTAACTTTTTCTTTTGAAAGGCTTTGAAACAGCAAATTACAGATTTACAGGAAGACTTGAAAAGAAAAGAAACAAAATGGTCAAGCACACACGGTCGCCTCAGAAGCCAGATAGAAATGCTAGTCAAAGAGAATACAGATCTCCGAGAAGAGATAAAAGTAATGGAAAGATTCCGACTGGATGCCTGGAAGAGAGCAGAAGCTATTGAGAGCAGCCCCAAGGCCTGCCAGTATGTGACAGCCACAAAAAGGGATGACACCATGGTAGGTTTGGGGAATTTGGTTTTGCCAAGCAAGGTGATGGCTAATGTTTGTACATTTAGACTCATAAAGCCAGGAAATGCCAGGAAGGCCAGAGGGCAGGAAGTTAGTCTTCTACAGCTCTAGGGGGGCTGTCACAAGACTGAACGTGGGCGGGGTGATAACTGCACAAGTTAAAGGCACTGCAGTTCCAGTGTGAACTCTAATTGTTCAGGGAGGCAACTCTGACGCTGTGTAGTTTACTGCTTGTCTTAGTTTTCTGTTGCTGTGAAAGCAGGTAAGAGCTTACACCCTTATCCTCAAGTAAGACGTAAAAAGGCATATTGGGAGTGGTGTGCACTTTTGAAATCTCAGAGCCTGTCCCCAGGACACACCTCCTCTAACAGGGCCACACCTAATGCTTCATGAACAGACCCACCAACAGGGAACCAAGAATTCAAATATATGAGCCTGTGAGGGCCGTTTTCATTCAAACCACCATGGAGTTCAGGAATGGTGAGGAAAGCATGACAGGCCTAGCCACCAGGTGGAGATGCTGTCTGGACTGCTGTCAGGTGAAGGGCAGGCTGGGGGTGACTAAATACATTCAGAATTTGTGCTGCATGAGGCACTGGTGGAGAGGAGCTGGCTTAGTGATACAGCAGGTGAGGAGGGTGACTGATTAGAGAGTGAGGAAGGAGAAGGCTGTCATAGGATCTTGAGCCAAGAGAAGAGTTTCGTGACATTGGGAGTCTGCTGGGCCTGTTGAGGACTGAAATGGCCAGGTTTTCCGAAGGGCAGAACTGTGCAGCACATTAGGCCCCTATTGGATTGCTGATGGCGGGAAGAATGCAGTGAAGATATGGGAGTTGGTGACAGTGGCTGAAGAGATTGGGGTAAGGATTTTGTTACTTTAGATAGGAGAGTGAAAGAGTAAATGTGGCTCAGTGACAAGGACACTGCTGGAGGAAGCAGTGACCAGCTGGGCAGCATCCTAAAACACAGGAGGGCTAAATGTAGACTGTTGTGAGGCAAGCCTGGACCAGTCTGCTGCATAGTGGCAGCTGGTGGGAAGTCCCCGAAAGCTCTGCCTCTCTAGGGGAAACAGGAACACACTCACCTGAGCTGAGAGGGTGGAAGTAAGGGACATAGGGTAGATGTGGGAAAGTTGAAAACCAAATGTCCTAGGGAGGTAACTGGTCAAACTGGAGTCACCTGGAAAGAGGGAACCTTATTTGAGACGATATCTCCATCAGATTGGCCTATGGGTAAGCTGGTGGGGCATTTACTTGATTGATGATTTATCTGGGAGGACCTAGCCTACTGTAGGTTTGGCTACTGCTGGGCAGGTGGCCCTGGCTAGTTTAAGCAAGCCACCTTAGCAAGCCATGAAGGTAGTAAGCAGTGTACCTCCATGATCTCAGTACCTTTAAGTTCCTTCTGTGACTATGTGGCTTTTCTCAGTGATGGAATGAGATTAGAACGCCCCCCCCCCCCCCATGGTCATGGTCTTTATCACAACAATGGAAAGCAGGGAAGGCTGGTTTGTGGCTGTGTGCCCCGCCCCCCCAAAATATGGGTGGGAGACCACACCCGTGAATGAGAACTGTTTGTTCTTGTTTTGGTGGGTGTTGTTGTTTGGGTGTTATTGTAGGAGTTGGATTTTGGCAAAAGTGAATGCTACTACACAGGGGAAGAGGATGTAGGTTTGCAGTGTGTCAGAGTATGACTGTAATGAACCATGAACATTAAGCTGTATCGGAAGGCCAAAGGCACAGGACATAGCAAACACATGGATCAATATAGACTATGTCTAGGTGCGAGTTGTCCAGGTGAGAGTTTCAGAGGTATGATCTGGAAAGACAGGATACAGTACCCTAGAAGAGGCATCCGTTTGTTCTCCACCATACTTTAGCATGGAAGCTTCCCAGTGGAAAGGTGTGATGAAGCCCCGAACTTCTCCTGCTCTGACTGCTGTGAACATCTCACTGTGCTTGTATGAGATGTTTATGTGTAGCCAAAGCAGTTGACAGGAGCTGTAGAAATCATGGCCTCCTAGCCTTTAAATACTTAAGAGTGAAACTCTTTAGAAAGATACTCAACTGACTGTTTGGAATATCCCACAGGCTAGGTATTTTTAAGTAAACTACTTTGAAATTGTGATTTGTGCACCTGTTTATTGAAGGTATTGTTAGAATTGATGGTAGAAAGTTCTGAAATTGTCTAGCTGAGGCTAGACAGAGCACAGATTGGTGGCAGGGTAGGTCATGATACCAAAGATATTATATCACCAGGGAGATGGGGAGGGCCTCACAGTGCTGGTGATGGGAACAGATTTTGAAATGGCTGTCAGGCAGCCTCATTAACTAGTGGGGACATGAGGGCAACTTGTGGAAGAGGCTGACTGACAATGAAAGTCTATTCTGTGTCTTTGAGTTGGAGGATAGTGTATGTATGTGTGTTTCATTCCTAGATAGCCAACAATTTACCTGGCTGATGGTGATAAATGAGAGTGCAAATGAACAGCTCTTAGCTGAGTTAATTGTACTTGGTGTCATGAAATTTACACTAACTAACAATTATATTAAAAATCATCTCTCATATCATAGAACTCATCAATTCAATTTCAAAAGAGTCATGTTTCTTCGGGAGTCCAGGTAGAGAAATACAAGAAAAACTATTTGCCAGCACAAGGTAAGAGGCTGCATGGCTCTTTTAGACTTCTGTACTTCCTAGATAATCTGAGCTGAGTATGGTGACACAGACCTGTTATCCCACCACAGGAGAAGCACCACAGGTCAAGGCCAGTCTGGGCTGCCTAGTGAGATGGCTTAGAGTGAAGTGGATGGGAGCAGGAGGAGAGAGGATTATATTCAAAGAATTAAACACGAATGATCTTAACGATTTTTCATCTTGATGCCTCAGTTTTTCTGTTTCAAAAGAAGTTAGGAAACAAACTGGTAAAAGAAAATTGATTCATTTATAGTTTGGGCAAACTGTAACAGTTACATTTTTTATAGAAAAGACAAGACAAAGGCCAGAAAATATACATGTGTTCATTTAGCTGTTCATAAGCTGTCAGAATTGAGTGCTCCTGGAGCCAAACTGTAGCCTTTCCCTCCCACATCATGAGGTTTCTGGAGAAACATGAACCCTTTGGGGAGTTGAACTGGGGTCTCTATATCAGTCTTACTCCTCAGATAATTTTAGATAGTATTCCACATTTGTTTATTCTTTTAAACTATATGTGCCCATACAATTTATAAATTGTTAAACACTATTCCTGTAATTATTATGATTGTGCCATGTGGATGCTGGGAACTGGACCTAGGTCCTTTGCAAAAGCAGCCAGTGCTCTTAACTGCTGGGCCATCTCTCCAGCCTCAACAAATTTACTTGTATTAATTGGTGTGTGGTGTGGCAATACCATGGGCATTCTTATTTGTACCTGGAATACATACATGCATTTCTCTAGGTACATAGCAAGGGCTGGAATAACTGAACAACTGGTAGAATGTCTTTAGTGCTAATAGGCTGTACTAGAATGTTTCCAAAACATGCTAGTACATTCTTAAAGTTTATTGCAGTTATTTGTGAGCCCTTGTGGACTAAGAATACAGCTTGTAGAAGAGTAGTTTCTCTCCCACGTGAGTCCTCTAGATTGAACTCAAGGTCATTCCTAGCAACCAGAATGTGTATCTACGGAACCACCTCCCTAGCCCCAACTTTCTACTTTCAATAGTTAGGAAAGTGCTTGACTCCATATTTGCTCAGTACTCAATGCTGTCAGATTTATTTTTTGCCAGCCAGGTAAGTGTATTTTGTCATCATTGTTGTAATTTGCATTTCCCTGATCATTTAAGTACATGCCTGAGTACATTACATATATGCGGACAGACTCTCACGTACACATAAATAAAACAAGGCAGCTGGGTTAACTAAAACAGCACTGAAAAAGGAAATGTTTGATTTTGTGTCTGGGGTGTGTGTGTGCTACTGTGCTGTGACGGTAGGATGGCAGCTGACAACTTGTGGAAGTTGGTTCTTTCCTCTTACCACGTGGGTTCCAAGCATTAAGGTTTCAAGGCTTAGGGGCAAGTGCTTTTACCAGCTGAGCCATCTCACTGGCCCCCAGACCAATAAGCTAAATATTTTCATTAAGTCACTAACTCTGACAATTACATTCTAACAGGGAATCCGACTCGAAGATCCAAGTCTGTGCCTCCTCGTGATCTAGGCAGCTCGGAAAAGGGACAAGTAAATCTTTTTATATTGTTACATATGTGAATGTACTTTATTCAGTATTGAAATGGACCTAAGTTTCTAAACCAGATAGAAAGAAGGGCTTTTATTTAACATTGTAAATGTTTCATATATACCAATAAACACTAGTCATAGAATCGTGTAATTTTAGAATCTGGTTTTAATATAGTAGGTACAGGTTGTAACTGCCTAAAATCTCTTGTCTTGTAGGCTGCTTTGCCCAGAGAGCCTCTCGAACCACTGCACTTTCCAGATCTTGAATATAAAAACAAGGAGGAAAAAGAGGAAGAAATTCAGGGAGAAGTCAGTCATCCTGATGGAAAGGTAGAACATATTCATTTAAAATATGGATGGGGCTGGAGAGATGGCTCACTGGTTAAAGTGGCTGCTCGTTCAGAAGACTCAGGTTCAATTCCCAGCATTCACATGACAGCTCACAGCTGTTTGTAACTCTAGTTCCAGGGGAATCTGATATCATCACACAGAAATACAGGCAAGCAAAACACCAAACAATTCTCATAAAAATAAGAATAGATAACCACGCATTAAAATAAGGATTTTGACTCTGAAAATGTCACTTATCACTTGACAACAGGGACCTGTTCTGAGAATTACATTGTTATAGATTGTATTATCGTATGAAAACCCTAGAATGTCCTTACAAAGGCCTAAGTGAGATCATCTCCCTCAGACCTGGGGCATGCCGTGTCTGTGTGTAAATGTATATGGGGTGTGTGCATACGTAGGTATGTATATGGTAGAGCAATTGTTCTGAGGGCCTAGACAAACAAAGTGTCGCCAGATTAGCACAGGATACTTCATGTGGATATAAACATGTGTTAGGAGACTGTGTGATATAAACTCTATATGTAGGAGTATGCTCTAAAATAAAAGCGTAGTACAGAAAGCACATAAGTCAGCAACATAGCTGTTTTATATTATCAAGTACTATATAACATAATTGTGAGTGATGTACTTTTCTGTACCTGTCAGCACAGGCTCATGCTATCACAAACACAACTAACACGATCCTTTGCTACATGATGGCAGCTAGGATGCAAGGGGATAAGGGTTTTTCTACTCCATTATACCAAAAGAGAAGAACATTACGCACGTGGCCCATCAGTGACTGACTAGAGCTGATCTTGAAGGCTATGATGGTGCTTAGCTTCAGGACTGTAGAGCTTCAATATTTAGAGATATACAGAAGGAGACCTATCATCTGCCTAACTTCACCTTTGCATCACACAGAGCTAGAAGGCCTCCCATGTTTTCTCTTCTGTGATCTTTGTAATACTATTCTGGAGCCAGGCCTGTTATCAGTCTGTATAACTTTGTTCTGGGGAAGTCAGAGCACAGCTTCCGAGAGTTGCTATTCTCCTTCTAACATACGGGTCCTGAGAACTCAGGTCATCAGGGTTGGCAGCAAGTGCCTTTACCCTGAGAGCCATCTCTCTAGCCCATGTTCTTGGCCTTAAAAAGTTTGTAAGTGGGAAAAGTGGGTGTGCTGATCAAAAGAAGGAGTGAAAAGGGACATAAATGATGTCTGTCTGGGGGAGGTGACTAAGGGCTTCTTCGTTGGGTTTGTGGAAAAATCTGTTTCATATACCCTAATTTTATTTAATTGAAACGATGAGACCAAAGTCCTGTCTAACCTTGAGGAATGAGGAGGATAACCAGTCAAAGGAAGTAACCATATTTTATTAGTCTCCGTAGGATACCAAGTTGATGAGAGGTTTTGTTTTAGATGAGGTTAATGTAAGTGGAGTATGAACAACAGCAGCAAGCTGAGAAAAGCATCACCCTGATGAAGTAAAGGTGTTCTCTACTTTTGATTTTAGAAAATGTTTTACTTTTATTATAGAGAATTTGGATGTGTGTAAACGGGCAGGGAATTCCTTGTATCTTTACTGCACAGTCTCAGGAGGAAATCACACCTGGTGATAATCACCTTATGTCTTTTTAGGTAGAAAAGGTTTATAAGAATGGGCGCCGGGTTGTACTGTTTCCCAATGGAACTCGGAAAGAAGTGAGTGCGGATGGGAAGAGCATTACTGTTACGTTTTTCAATGGTGATGTGAAGCAGGTCATGCCGGATGAGAGAGTGGTAAGTATGTCAGGCCGCTGTTTGTAGCTATGTCATCTCTGGAGAGGGGCGACTCAACTAAGTGTCTCTGTAGGTCTACTACTATGCCGCTGCCCAGACCACTCACACCACATACCCAGAAGGCCTCGAAGTCTTACATTTCTCAAGTGGACAAATAGGTACAAACTTTTTTGCCTCCTCTGTTAAGTGCTGACCTTCCTTTAAAAAAAATTAATATTGATAACAATTGTTTTAAAAACAGAAAAGCATTTCCCAGATGGAAGAAAAGAAATCACATTTCCTGACCAGACCATCAAGACTTTATTTGCTGATGGTCAAGAAGAAAGCATCTTTCCAGATGGCACAATTGTTCGAGTACAACGGTATGGTATCTCTTAAATCTGTTTCTACATTTTCCAGTTTTCATGGTTCAACTTTAAAAAATAATCTGAAACATCTGGGACTAGGGATGGGCTCAGCAGGGAAGAGCACTTGCTGTGCAGTCATGAAGCGCTGAGTTGGAACTTACTACTCTAGAAAAAGACATGGACGTTGGTTACAGCATGTTGCTGTAACCCTAGTGCTGGGCACGGAGTTGGGGGAAAGATAGGTGGGTCCTGCAGCTCATTAGCCGGTGAGCCTAGTCCAATTGGCAAGCTTCCAGTTAAGTGACAGGCCATTTCTTAAGGGAATAGATAGAGTCCTCTTTTAGTTCTATATGTAAGGGAGCATGCACCCTCCCAAATATAAAACCTCCCAAATATAAGTGACTTGAAGGGTCACTTGAATTTTCGCTGAGGTGAGACGTGAACACAGACAGCTTTGAGAACAAGTGAGACATATGCTTGTACTGTAAAGTTTAGAAGCAGTGTGAGATAATGGGATTTAGAGAGAGGCTGCACAGAACTCAGGAGAGGAAGGGAGTGGGAGTTGTTTAGAAGTTTAGTGAGCTTTGAAAACAGAATGAGACACAGAAGGCTGGATGCCTCAGGTGTGCAGTTGACAGAACCACTGAAACATGTTTAGACTTTTCTATCTTGCTTGTATTTTTAATTTCTCAAGCCCTCTGCCAATTGTGTTATAGGTTTAATCTCTTGGTATTAAAGTTCTTCCTTTGTCCTTTTGAATATATGTAGTCCCTGGATGCTAAATCCACATTTTTTTAAGTTTCTTGTAGCCCAGTCTGGCCTTGAACTCCTGATCCTTCTGTCCCCACAGGCTGAGATTATAGTATGCATCATAACCAACCTGAAGAGTCACAGCTGCTTACCTCACCATTTTAATCCCAGCCCTCGTGAAGCTCTGCCACATCTAATTTTGAGTTTTCCCCTCTTGATCTTAGGATGTGACAACTAAATACAGTTAATGCACTAAGCCTAGTATACAAATTGGCCAAGAAAGCTAAAACTAACTTCTTAGAGTCATTGGAGTGTTTCTTCCTTAGTGTAGAAATCTGATACATATGCAAATAAATAGCAGTTTGTTAAAAATAAATTAGGACTCTATTATACATTGGATAACATTAAAACAAATTCAGGATTTTTTTTTTTTTTTTTTTTTTTTTTTTTTTTTTTTACTCTTAACATTTGAAGTTTGTGTAAGAAAAATTACGTATCCATGCTTCAACATAGACTAACTCATAGCCAGCCTTGATTTTATGGGCATGTCCCAGGTATTATATTAGTTTGGTCAGGATTACCGTTTACTCCAGAGCAGTGGTTCTCAAATTGTAGTGTCATTGATCACCTATATTGTTCAGATGTACCTGTGCTAGAGCAGCGATCCCTCAGGGGAAGCATCAGCTCTTGGAACAGACTTTGTGTCTTACACATGTGTGTGGCATAGGATGGTACTGCTGTTAACACCTTCCCACCTATGTTCCAAATTGCCAACTCCCCAGCTGTGAATGTATCATAGACATGCCCAGCAATCTACTTTGTGTTAATTTTTTCATCTTCTTACTGTTTTGTTGTTGTTCAAAGTACACAGGTGATCTTCAGTCTGGTGAAAAAGAGCCATCCTAACCTTCCCCCAAGGAACCTGAATAGCTAACTTTTAACATGCCCCAGCTTTGAGCTGGGCATGGTGACATACACAAGTCTTTAACTCCAGAACTAAGGAGGCAGGTGGATCATGGGAGTTTGAGGGCAGCATACTTTACAAAGCAAGTTGCAGGCCAGTTATGGATAAAGAGACTTTTGTCAAAACAACAAGCTAAAATTTAAAACAAAAAATCAGACACTTTATAGTAAAAGTATAAAGTAAGTTCAATAAAAGAACTTTTTAGTAGCTGGAACTGAAATGAAATACTGCAGACAGAACTTGCAGTTGTATTGGGAAGAGGACTAGTGAGTATGTTTAGGAGAAGAAACAAATTACCAGAATCAAAGGACTTTTAGCTAGCTTTCCTGTTGTACATTTCTTTTCTTTTTATTCTTACATAGTATTGAGGATTGAACCAAGGCCTCATGCACACTAGGCAAGTACTTTTCCACTGAGCTCCCCTCCAGCTCTACTTTAAATTTCAAGGGCAGCAAGGCAGGTTTCCTTTTGTGTTGCTCAGGCTGGACTTGAACTTCCAGTCCTCATACCTCAGCCCTCTCCTCATACCTCAGCCTCCTGAGGGCTGGTATTAACAGTCATGTACCAATCACTATGCCCAGCTCCTGTTGATATATATTTTTAAGAAATAATATTCTGGTTTAAATTTTACAGTGATGGCAATAAAATCATAGAGTTTAATAATGGCCAACGAGAGCTCCATACTGCCCAGTTCAAGAGACGAGAATATCCCGATGGGACTGTTAAAACTGTCTATGCAAATGGTCATCAAGAGACAAAATACACATCTGGCCGAGTCAGAGTGAAGGACAAAGATGGTAATGTTCTAATGGACAGAGAATTGTAAAGATCTTTGTGGGATTAATCATGAAATAACACTAACTAGTTTTTCTGTTGAGAGTATGGGCATTTATTAATGTGTTCAGTTTAATTTATATGTGTCTAAATAAATGTAAAAGATTATGTTTGTTTGAATTTTAACATTAAAAGTTTTACTACCCAGTCTTCCTGTTTTACATTCTTAGAAACACAAAAGCAGCTCACCTAGTGCATGTGTCTGTCTACAGTTAGGAAGAGAAAATACTATTGCTTTGTTATAGACTATGTACAGTTTATTTCTTTAAGCATCTTTTGAAGACTGGGCCCCACTGTGTGGTGCTAGCTAGCCTGAAACTCACTGTGTAGGTTGGGCCGGCCTTGAATTATACCTGTTTCTGTGTTCCCAGTGCTGGGGTAAAGACGTGTACCACCACACATGGCTTGTACAGTCTTCAAAATAAGAAAACCAAGCCTATGCTTGGTCCGTAGGCTCAGTAGCCATGCGCTGTGGGCTTCCCAGAGAGTGAACTAAAAAGTCAATGTCAAAACTTACTGCAGCCAATACTAAAATGAAAACTATTATCTAGCACAAAAACTCATGAACTATAAGAGTGGAGATGAACACAAACAGGCCACACCATATTACAAGTACTAAGTAGTCTTAGGAGAAAGCAGTTATGACCAGAAAGCTGCGTACTTTGTCAAAAACAGAGGAGTAAGCAGCTGGTGTGAACCGGTCATGCCCTTCGTGTTATTACCAGAGGTGGTAGCCAGTACAGGCCAGCTATGCTCAAAGAACGGACAAGCTGCCTACTCTAAGCTTATAGCTAGGACAATGGGTGTGGACAGTACATGGCTCAACTGATGTGAGCCATGTACAGTGGCGCACACCTGTGACCCCAGCAATTAGGGAGGCAGAGGCAGGTGGATCTCTGAGTCTACAAAGTGAGTCCAGGACAGTGTCAAGGCTACACAGAGAAACCCTCTCTCAAAAAACCAAACCAAACAACTCCCCAAAACCAAAACAAACAAACAAACAAACAAACAAACAGAACCGAGACAAAATACACAAAAAAATCATATGGAAGAATTTTAAAGTAAGACATGAAGCATAAACTTTAAAGGACAATTGCCATCTTCAAGAATGTTTATCTACTTTTTCAAAAGTAACTGCCCCTTGACCCGGCAAATCCCACTACTATGTACAAATAAGAAAACCTCTCATGTGTATAAGGGCCCTATAGAGAATGCGATTAAACAACAAAAAAGCTAAGTAACTACCTACATATCTAACAATAAGATCACACAATCAGATGGTCAGTGAAATCAGTAGAGCTCCCACTAACACACAGCACTGCAAACAGAATGAAAGTGTTATTTAGTTTTTCCAGTCTTACAGATTACGTAGTACAAAATAACAAGACTTATAGTATAGTAATAAACTATAAACACCAATTCAATCCTATTCATTTTGTAAGGGAGTGGGAGTGGTGATGGGTGAGACATTTCAGGACTTTCAAGAGTTCTGCTATTTCTTAAGCAAAATCTTAATAACATGAACTAAAATTTCTATATGCCTAAATTTTATTTTGAAAACAGTATAAACAAAAATGTTTTAAAGAAAATATTAACTTTCTCCCACACCATTCTTGAACAATTTAACAAGTAAAACTAAAGGAAGAAAAAAAGATATGACTTCAGAACAAGTTAAAATCAAACCTGAAATGGTACAAATCTAACAGTAAACTTTTTTTCTGGACAGCTACAGGTGCTCATGTATACCTGAAAAACAAAAAGTATTACTTTAAAACTTGCCTAACTGCTTTATTCCGTTCTAGCTGAAGCGCATTAGTTACCTGGGTCCCACAGTGGTTCTGTGTATATGCTACTTGGTAATGAGCATAAATTACTTGTCCCAACTGTCCTGTGCTGCTTGCCCCCACCCATCAACAACAGGACATAATACAGCCATTCCCGACTATATTTACAAATACAAGGATTGTTAATGGTGTTCAAGAGACAGAAAGGCAGCAAGGCAACGAAATCTGGAACAGAGCTCTTGTAGAATTTCATCTTTTGAGAAATGAAAGTATCTGCTTATAAGCAATTTTGCATTAATTTCTGCCAGAGCAGTCATATGTAAGCACACAGGTGCTGACTAAACAGGCAACCAAGGAAGTACACTTACATCATTCATCTTTATCTGCAAGCCCCATTTCTACCAAGGACATATGAACTGGGTATTGTTCATCTTCATATAATGTCACTATTTGTTCTGGTTCCTGAGCCTAAAATGGAAAGATACAGTTATCAAGAAGACAAAAATATAGCTGGGTATACACCTGTAATGTGGTGATAACACACCTGTAATCAACAGAAGCAGGAAGATCACAAAAAAACAAGCAAAAATCCCGATACCAACAAATGAAACACAGTACTTTCTTTGCTGCCCTTTCCATCCTCCATCTGGCTGCTTTCACTGGGAGGGCGGCACAAGACTAATTCATACTCTTACCTTCAGAGGGCATCTTTGATGGTTTTCTGCTAACTCCAATTTCTTCCATTCTCCTCTATTAAAACAAATGAGACCTCAAGTCTCTCCTGCCTAGATAGGAGCAAATGGTCTTTCATATCACTATCCTTATTAAGGTTCCTTTACATTCTATACAGCACATACTGTATCTCTTATGCATAAACTAAAATTTGGCTGTTATTCACAGAGGTGAAGAAATATACTTGTAATAAACACTTGGTCTGCCTGTACTTTCATTGACTTTAGAAACACCCTTCATGAACTATGTACATGTTAGTACACAATATACAACAGTAGTTTCCCAAAAGCATTTTCTAGTAATAATAGCCTGTCTCATCTTGAGCTCATTCTTGTGGAAGGAAATATACAGGATTCTTTGTCCTAGCACCTGGCAGAGAACACAAAGGAGGGAAGCAGGCAGGCCTGAACACCGGTTGTAAGGACCAACGGGGTAACTCAACCTTCTACATCACCATCCCTGCTCAGGGCTGTGTCAAGGGGGAGGTCTGGGCATCCTGGATTTTAGAACATAGAAACATAGAAACATAGAAGCCAGAACATAGAAACAAATTGTGTGTGTGTGTGTGTGTGTGTGTGTACTTGTGTATAAGGATAAAAATGTCCAGTTCTAGAATACTATGTAAGACAAGGTTCCTGCTTGCCTGTGGGCTACTACTGTGTGCTACGTTAAACTTAAAAAGACAGGTTTGTTACTCTAAATACCATTTGGAGTTTTTAAACTAATGCATGTGTATGAGTGCTTTGCCTTCATGTGCCTATGTTCACAATGTGTACACAGTGCCAGCAAGCTCAGAAGAGGGCATCTGATGCTCAGGAACTGGGGTAGATTGTTGTGAGTCACTGGGAACCAAATGTGGGCCCTTTTGCAAGAGCAGCAACATGCTGCTAACCCTTGAGCCACCTCCCCCCACAACGCCGCAGTTCTGATACAGGTCTGGCCTCTCTGGCCATGGCTCCCCCAGCTTTCAGGACGAAGCCTGTGTATTGCTTTCTGGGCCGACTTAACTTAGTGAGTTACTTGAATGCCTACTAAGAACTTTCTTAATACCTTTCCAGGTCTCTTCAGATGCAAGTAGTCATTTCTTACATTTCTTCCCAGCCTACAAAGTTATCTATACCCCTCACTGTACTTTGATTCTACCTCAAATTAATTAGTGGTATGCATGTTTGTTTTTCATTAACTTGAAAGATCTTTGATTATAGGAAATGTATCTTTTATATAAAATTTAACATTAATATAAAATAATTTTATGTAATAATACAATTACTATTAATATAATCACTATAAATTAATATAAAATAACAATTTTATATTAATCATTGCCTATCACTTTAGGATAATAAAGGTTGTTAGAATGAAAGTGTTCTTTGGCCGGTGTGACAGGCCCAGGGTGGTGACCTTCTGACCCACCTGCTTGCATGTCCCAAATGGTGGAGTACAGGTGTGCATCGCAGGTGTACCTCTGTGAAGGCAAGTGCTCTGCTAACTTGTGGCAGTTAGGCTTCCGTCCCAAGCCCCCAAAAAAACATGTTAACCAGCCTCGAGACTTTTAACTTCTGTAGTCTATGTAGCTTTATATGCTTTAACTATTATTTTTTTTTTAAAGAAGAAGCAAAACACTTTACACAGTTAATAGGGTTTATGAAAAAAGTTTGAAAATAATTTGGCTAATTAAGACATACTTACCACAGAGGAAGCATAAAGTTGTTTTCCTTGGAGACAGTCTATCATAGTCCACAGTGCTTCCATGCTCCACTTGGGACAGTATGGTATTCTTGCCTTTCCCGAGTCACTTAAGGGAGGTTTAAACCCTGCCAAGAGAACCTTTATGGCTTGGGCTGGGTACTGCATAAGCTGAACAGGAATCTGACGTAGTCTGTTATAAAAGAGATTGATAAAATGATCAGAATGTCACAATTCAAATTCTCAGTTAAAGATTTATCACTCTCAGGAGAAAAGTGTCATGATACTGGATTTGGCAAATGACACCAAGAGCATAGCCAAAAAAAGTCACAAAAACCAAAGGCCTTGGGCACTGTTAGCAATGTACGGTGGTAGAGTTGCCGTGGAGAATTTTGTATAGGAGTTTCTTGGACATTAAGAATGAAGTATGTGGTCCAGCAATTCCATCTCCAAGGTATACTACAAATAACTGAAAGCAGGGTCTCAACAAGGCATCTGTATACTCATGTTTATACAGCCTTGCTCACAATAGGAAGAAGTAAAAGTAGTCCCAGTGCCAACCCATAAAGAGTGTCTCAAGTTGAGACAGACACATACAATGCCTTAGAAAGCAAACTGGCATTGCTGCTGGGTAAACCTTCATGATCAGGTGCAGAAGGAACAAAGTAGCTATTGGGTTAGGTGAGGGTAAAGTGGAGCACAATTATTTAACGGGCAGAATTTCTATGATTAAAAATGTTTTGGAAATGCAAAGTATAAAGCAGAACAATACTCTAAGATGGTAGATGGTTTGCATATCTTGTGAAAAGAAAAACCGACATTAAAATACCTAATTTAGGGAC